ACGGCGTGCAGCCACACCTGTCACAATGAACCGCTAGGTTTCCTGAGCGCGAGGAACGTAAAGAAAGGGAATGTTCCCTTGCCCTTACGTTTACACAACGCCCAGTTTGACCAATATTAGCCCCGAGAGCGAACACAAGCGTCGCTGCGGTCGCCACGCCCTGATTGGGTGAGGTGTACCGTGACGTCAGGGCGAGTACCCCGCTCCGCGATCTCGCATCGGGTCGCTTCCCAGCACCGGTTTCCTGGTTTGGCGTTGTGTGCCGCAAGCTCTTCGAGGAGCCGGACGCCGGACTTCGTTTACCCGGTGTACAAGACGTTGAGTTAGGCCGATATTAACGTGCTTCCGTACATTTTATAAGCCTGTTTGTCCCTTTTACCTTTAAGATTGGGTTACAAATCCCGAAAACTATCGGCGGAGGCAATTACGCCGATGAACCTCCCCGTCCGTCCACACGACGCTAGGCAATCTTGAGAGGGGTCGCTGAAGCGGTGACGCAAGTGTTTCAGACGCTGGAATTCTGTTCCTTGCATGTTCATGATTTAGGACGATATTACATCCTGCTTTCAAGGCATCTGAAGCGGCCTTTATATCATGGGCCTTTCGGTGGTCGGCAAATTAGCTCGCGACCCCGACTCTGCGCTGCCACTCTGCATGCGCGGGTTCGCAGATGTTTTAAAGGCCCTGCGTCTGATGATCTTTGAAGTGCTCATGGAACAGGGTTGTTTTACATAAATGTAGCTTCTTCCTGAATTAATTATATAGTTTATACGCGTATGCAGGCATATTTCTTAAAGGATTCACAATTACTGGAAATTAGTTTGTATGGTAGCAGCAAAAACGGCCGAATTTCCCCCAGTTGCCTCTATGATATGTAGTAAACTGCCCAAAATATGCACAGCAATAGTGCCGTAATTTGGAATGTTTATACTTTTTCCTGACATTCTTTATTACAGCCTTTTGTATTCGGAAAATACACCGTTTAGTTTGAATTGTCATTTCCATTTAAGAGTCACTGCCGCAGGTCCCCAAAAGCTTCCTCAGCCTCCAAACTCCCTGCAACTGGACTCTCTGACAACAGAGGAAAACAGGAGTAAAAGCAAGCATTCGAATGTCTGTCCAGTGGAAGATGCAGCACTGGTAGCAGAAAATGTGGAACCTGTGAAGGGCGACAGTCTGCGTGAGAAAAGCTTCTGTACTTTAGCTTCAGGACAATTCGATTTAAGTAAAATCTCAATTTTAGGGCTTAAGGGACTAATAACGAGCTAGACACCATAACTTACGTTTGTTATATATTACTTGAGGATTGATATAAACAAGTACACAGATACCACCCGTGTAGTCCATTGAAATACTATCCGAATCCAGCAAAGGTCAAGTGCGAGCAATGTATATAATAAATTTTCCTTATTTTTTTCACTTTGCCCCTGCACTTGGGCTGTCTTACTTGTGATTCTCTCCCCATGGCCGAGACTGTATTTAGCACGTTGCTCGAGCAGCATGCAGCTTTTCTTCTTCGGCGATCTTGTTTAAAGACAGAGATACAAAAAAAAAATAGTATACATAACCTGCCAATTCATTCGGACCATCAGCAGCGTTTATTGTGCGAGGTGTGAATCTGTAGTGATGCCCCTGCAATTGTGGCCATATTTTTTTTTTATTTCACATACCAGCTGTGGTTCATGCGTTGCCTGGCCTGTCAGCCATGCTTAAAATGTTCGTTGAAGTTTCGCCTGTCGCTGCAGGTCATACCTCATCAAAGGCACATAAAAAAATTTACACTTCCTACGAAAAACACGCCAAAAAAAATTGAATAGAAACGAGCGCGCCGACAGCTAGCGTCGTCACAGCCTCCACAGGGCGAGCGGGGCGAGTCGGGGAAAAATTCTCTCCTCGCCGTGACGTCACCCCGGTTCGCCGTAAGGGGGCGCTAGGCGAACTTCTCGGGGCTAATACACCCTGCCGCAGGACAGGGGGATCTGGTACACGACCCGCTTACACAGGCGACGTACGGGGTGCACGATGTTTGACGCCGCACACAACGGAAGGGCGTCCCTCTCTACTAACGGCAGCACAAAGGTGTGAAAGCTTAGATGGCCCAACTAGCCCAACTACATGCCTTGCTGCAGTGTTAGAATGTTTCCTTCTTTCTCTTGTAAGCAATCAGGAGACAACTTACACTCAATCTGAGGGTAATAAAGTACTATGAGCATTCAAACATAATGGCCTGAGCAGTATATGTGTACACGCTTTAGCTTTTGATGCACCCTTAACTTTCGATACGCTCACCGCTAGTGCAAAATGTAGAGCTGTTTCATTCTTAATTAGCGTACCATGTGCGTGCTTGCACAATATTGTATACGACGTCAAACTCTACCCGTTTGCATCTTTTTCATTTTTGCAGACCACTACTTGCGCGCATAAATCACCAAATTAAGATCTACAGGGTGTCGCAAAATCAATTTACATGTTTTTTTTTGTTGTTTTTTTTTACCACAAAAGCCAACTACGCCTCGCGTAACGCTCATTCTCCGCCCAAAGATAGCACTAGGTCACAATTAGATGCCAAAGTTTCATCCCAAAAGGACACCTTATTCAAAAGTTATAAGTGATTTTCTGAAAATTTTAATGGGAAAATTGAGCCCATTTTTGCCCGTTTTCGGTTTCTGGCACCCATAGACTTCCATGTATTCAAAACTCCGTCGGCCGCCATTTTCTTATTGAACTTTTCAGAAAATCACTCATGACTTATGAATAAGGTCTCGGATCGGGCTGAAACTTTGACATCTGGTTGTGACATCTAGCACTACAGTGGGCGGAGAATGAGCGTTCGGAAATACCTAATTTATTCTTGCGGTAAAAAAAAGTGTAGCTTTTTTTTGTTTTGTGACACCCTGTGCATTGCTTAAACTATGTGGAAAAGCTATCCACAGGCCCAGAATCTTTGCCTGGCCAGTCGTTGCATTTATCACTGAATTCGTATTGAAATTAATTCGTATCATTTATTGCTGTGAGTTAATTTTTAACCTCGGCATTTTTTTATCCTACTTTGTCCTAAATCCTACTTTGGGTTTACCAAACTGAACATCTAAACCTGAGTGTCATTTTTTGTGTTTTCCAGTCTCGTGGTTTTGGTCAAAATAAACACCTAGCCACCTAAAAAAAAAATTATTTCGTTATTTTTTAGGTAGTTAATTTTTCAAGCTAGAATTTCGGAAACCCAAGTCCATCACGTCATCACGTTTTCCTGGAAATCCACAAAGAGCCAAACACATGCACGACAAAAGGGCCGGCCCGTCATAGTGCCGCCCGCAGAGCCGAAAAAGCAACTTTCGGTCACGCTTAGCTTAGCTTAGCTTAGCTTAGGTCCGAGCGCGGCCGATGTTATGTGCCGAAGGGCCAATCAGACAGCGAAAGAGGCACAACGGCATGGCGTGCTCTCTGCAGTTGATAGGACCAGTCGGTATTCGCCGTCTCTCTGTGCGTGCTCTTCCGCCGGCTAGTCCTATCAAGTGCAGAGAGCACGCCATGCCGTTGCGCTTTTTAAGCTGTTTGATTGGCCCTTCGGCTCATAACATCGGCCACGCTCGGACCGAAGGTGAAACGAAGTATAGAAGATTCGCGTGTAACTTTCGCCCTGCTTTCTTGTTCTCGAAAGTGCAGTTCATCCTCGCCCCGAGCGCGCGACGCTCGAACCTTCTTTGCCGAACTTTCGAGATGGTGACGCACTGTAGAACAGATAAGCAGCTGCAAGGGGCCTTGTCGAGTCAGTCTCGCTCTCGCTCTTTGTTCCGCTGCCGGATCGCCGTCTGCTTTTCTGCTGCCTCGACGCTCTTTCTTTTTATTTATTTATTTTTTTTTTGGGGGGGAGGGGGGGAGGGGGCACAAGTTCGCCGATTAAACCTTTATTTTTCGCCTCTCGTCCCCTTCATTCGTGTCAATATAAATCTAGCCACATTGAAATACGTATAACTGACCTCTGAAATCTCCGATAGCGGCGCACAGGCAATTTTATATATTTTAACGCGTCGGTGGTTTTGTTGTGCGCGTGTCTCGCCATTTGGCTCGGGAATATTTTCGCGTTTTGTTCTGCCCACATTTGTCTGAGACGTGAGCTCGGAGCGTAGGCAACTCGCCCCCTTGCACGAGAACTGGCGCAGCCGTGCGCGTTCCAAAGAAAGCTCGTGCAGAGAAAAACAAGCAAGGGACCAGGGATGTCAAATTCAGGATATAGAAAAATATCACACTGTATTGAAGCGCCACCACACACGATTTGTCGCCTTGATGTACAGGCCTGGAAGGTGACCTCACCGCCATCTGTTGGTTCAGAATCACACTAACCAAGGGTGGGGTTGCACCTTAACGCCCCCACGGCATTTGCCATTTCTGACAGTTCCTGCCGCGGCCGATTGAATTATCTGAAGAATGTTTGGGGATCCCGATTTCTATCCCATCTTGAGGAGGCATCCCAAACTTTGCGGCGACACGAGCTCTGTCACCTCAGTGTTTGGGTATACCCTGTGGCGGCGTTAAGTTTGGAGAGCACTGTGCATACTGTTTATAAGAAATGGTCGTTTATAACATTGTCTAAAGTTTTCATGCCAAGAAAAAAAATACCTATACGCGCAAGAAACAGGAAAACGATATGGAGACATTGAAAGTGTTCCACTGATACCCGATTGAGCGTCGTAAGAGATTTTACGAGGTTTTAAAGCACCCGGTCTTAAAGAGTCGCAAGTGTGTGATTCTGTTCACACACTTCTATACTCTATCCAGCAAATCTTTTTATAAAATCGGATTATGACCGAAAAGTAAGAGGAACGAGAACGCACGCGTACACTCTTGTGGATAGAGTGTACGCATGCGCAAACGCTATCCCGAAAAAAAGGTCGTTTCAAGGCGCGAAACATTGGTTTATCGAATAGGTGTCCGGGCCAAGAAGTGTAACGGATGGGAAGGGGGTCTCTTAAGCCCACCAACGGCTGCTCGTTCTTGCGCAGAGTTGTGATCCGCAAGTCCAGTGCGAGTGCGAGGACGCCTGGAACAATACTTTCCTGTGCACAAGGTACATCGCCCCCACGGCCAACTCAAAGTTCTGTATCTTTCATGACGACGAGGTGAGTCAGAGTGTTGTAGTTTACAATTCGGCACACTTTTTATTACGCTACACGTGTTTTGACGTGTCTATAATTTGTCTTCCATTAAAGAGATCATGAAGTGGTTTTGGGGTCGTATTTTATGTGCGTGAATTTGTTTGCAGTAGGTCAAAATAGAAGTTGCGTAAAGCGCCGTTCACACTTCTCCGACCGAGTACGACCGAGAGAAACCAGACCGGTTTTTAAGCCTCTCGCGATCTCTTAGAACCAGCTCCGCTGCATCGCATCCGGTCCTAAGAAGTCGCAAAAGGCTTAAAAACCGTTCTGGTCTCTCTCGGTCGAAGTCGGTCGCAAGAGTGTGAACGGGCCTTAAGAAGGAAATGAACCTAAAGCCTTATTTTCAGAATACAATTTTCGAAGTAAAATGAAACTATTTCTTACCCTATCTCCCACAAAAGTTCCTGTTTTTTTTTTGTTTTTTTTTTATTGTGACACGTTTTACTGAATTAGAGGACACCATACTAAAATAAAACTACGTGTCTATAACAAATCAGGGTCAAGTCATCGTCTCAGGAGGCATTCATTTCTACGTTTACACCATAATATGCTTCAAATATTGAGGTCGAATCAAATTGAATTTATTCGACGCCACATCGTACAATGATGATTTTGGGAGCACAGACAAAAAGCTACTGGGGTACGGCTTGACTATGTCTATGCCCCCTTCAAATTAGCAACAGCGGTGCTATACCCAGGCAGCACCGAGTTCTGGGCCAAAACTTGGCTTGCGTCTGGCAGTTTAGGGCATTAAAAAACCCGAAGAAGCCAAAGTAGTGCCAAACCTGACCTCCCTTGGCAACAGTCTGGGTATCTTGGCCCTAATTCGCCAAACAAGTGCCAAACTTAGGCTTCGCTCCCGGGTAGTTCGGTTATTATCTGGCATCTTCGGGCCTAAATCGCCTAACAAATGCCAAATTTAGGGTTACTGCCCGTTAGTTCGGCAGATCTTTGGCATTTTTGGGCCAAAATCGCCAAACTAATGCCAAAGTTAGGCTTCACTTTTTGATAGTTCGGCTATCACCTGGCACATTCGGGCCAAAATCGCCACAGATGTGCCAGAGTTAGGCTTACTACCTTGTAGTTCGGCAGAGCTTTGGCATTTTTGGGCCAAAATCGCCAAACTAATGCCAAAGTTAGGCTTCACTTTTTGACAGTTCGGCTGTCACCAGGCACATTCGGGCCAAAATCGCCACAGATGTGCCAGAGTTAGGCTTACTACCTTGTAGTTCGGCAGAGCTTTGGCATTTTCGGGCCAAAATCGCCAAACTAATGCCAAAGTTAGGCTTCACTTTTTGACAGTTCGGCTGTCACCTAGCACATTCGGGCCAAAATCGCCACAAATGTGCCAGAGTTAGGCTTACTACCTTGTAGTTCGGTTGAGATCTGGCATCTTTGGGCCCAAGTCGCCAAGCGAGTGCCCAAGTTAGGCTTCGCTTCCCGATAGTTTGGCTGTGATCTGGCAGCGACGGGCCAAAGGTGCCAAACAAGTGCCAGAACTAGGCTTACTGCCTTGGAGTTCGGCTGATGAGGTATTTGATGTACGCGGGTGGTCTTCATCTTAATTAAATAGAAATCAAGTTCTATTCGGCTGGCAACTTTATCTTATTTTGGTTGTCTCTTGATTTCTGCAGTCCAAAGGTTGGCTGAATGTTTTGACGCGGCTGGAGCAGGCTTTGCAAACGCAAATTGTGCCAGATGTTTTACTCGCGCGTAGGTACACAAGCCAATATCGGGACGCGCTGTGAGACTGGTTCGAAATTATGGCGCGTTCACACCGGCGATGCGATCTAGTCGCGCCATAACTTTCATCGCAAAAGCGACCATCGCGGGCAAAAAGTGACGGGTTTTGAGCAGTCGCTTGCTGACCCGACGTTTTGCGATGCACTCTAGTCGCGGAGAGGCCGAGCCAACCAACGGCGTTCGGAGCGAGAGTTTTTGAGACGCCACTCGCCAACGAAGGCATTGGACTCGCTCATCGCGCACGCCAAATTGACCAACTAATTACTTTTTTTTTTCTTTTTTTTTTTTTGCGATGCGATTTAGCTGGATCGCGCGACTGCTATCCCCGGTGTGAATCCGCCTTTACAGAAAGTGCTGCCATTGAGCTAACACTGCGCAAGACGGATGTGCGCACGTTTTAACAAGATATATCATTATTAAGGGGTGTCCAAACTGGACACTACAAAACGCACGACTCCTACAAATCGTGAAAATTAAAGCGGACGCGCCCGCTTCAAGCCCGCTTCAATTTTCACGATTTGTCGGAGTCGTGTCCTGTTTGGACACCCCTTTAGGCGGCGCATTGCAAAAGCGAGCGTGGCTCTGTGCGTGTCTTGCATTGTGATTGAGCACTGTCAAATCCTAGCGATAACAAAGTGCGGAAACGACCGTGGCTCTATGGCGCGGTTCCCGCATCACACTTGGGGGATGAAAATGAAATCCCGGAAATTGTCCTATTTTAGCGTGTTGATACTTTTTAAACATTAAAAAGTGGAGACACAAAAGGGACGATAAAGACAGGACAATCTCTGAACTTTAAAGCCGCTGTACAAACGGGACGTTCTGCAGAGAAGAACCTTCTCTCCCGAAGCTGGGGGACGGGGAGGGAAAGGTCAAGCGTTGGATGGAAGGAGGTTTAGAGAATGGGATTAGCCTCGGGGCGAGGCCATCCTCTTGAGAGGGAGTGGGGACGGAACAAAGCTGGCCGTGGTGGTTCCGGCTACCAGGTGGAAGAAAGTTAAGCTTGTCAAACGGCGACCTCGGATCCCAGGACGGGCACGCCAGAGAATTTGAAAATAGCTGCTTGATTAGCCGGACGACCCAGTGCGGTCTACTGGTTCTAGAAGGTGACTCGGATGAAGAAAACTCGTTTTGGTCGAAAACTCTAAAAGCATTCTGGACGTGAACCCTTGCCACAAATAAAAATAACACATGCATGAAAAACTGCGAAGGCACCTAAGCTTTCGCCTATGATGTGGGAATGCGTGAGCATTACTGGCAAAGTTATGTTGGCGCAACTTGCAATAAAGAAAGAAAAAAAAAAGTTATGTTGGCTGCAATAAAGAAATAAAAAAAAAACGTTATGGTGCCGCAACGGATAGCGCGCTAGTTTCACGATCAAGAGGGCCTAGCTTCGAAACCGGGCAGGGAAGGGTTTTTTTTCTCGTGTTATTTTTTTTCGTTGTTTTTTTGTTTGGTCACGTGGCAAGAAAAATCACATGAACAGAATTTTTTTTGGCCAAGTCACCAGAGATTTTTTTTCTAATTTCTCCTTTTCTTCAGCCTTTCTTTCTTTCTTTCTTTCTTTCTTTCTTTCTTTCTTTCTTTCTTTTTTTTTTTTCCTTTTTTTCGGTTTACGCTTCCTATCGCAAAACTCTTTGCACCTATTTCGCGTTACATTGGCGTTAGCCAAATCATTTTATTTATGGCAGGGAATTCTGCCGTACGTATCTTATGTTACTATTACCAACCCTGGATTTCGTCCGGCAACCAGTTTGGGAATGACGACGCCAAGTTTCTGTTATAATTTCTTTGAGGTCTAAGGCCTCGTTATCCGTCGGCCTCTAAGATTGGCTCTTCAAGTATCTTTTGGGAAATAGTTGACGACAGGCATCTTTAAGGAGCACGTGTGTCGACCAGAGTAAACATTGCTGAAGCGCCTCTAGTGTGATTTTGGCCGTAAATAACTGGAGGCCCCGGGCAAACCAACCCATTGGAGAAAAGTATCTACCTTTCTGGTTTCATAGAGGGCTATGAAAGTCAGAAGGGACGAATCCCAGCCGAGTCAAACTACCGGCTTGCAAACGCAATCGTGTTGATAATAGCGCAAAGGAGTTTGTATGACTCTCTCTGGCGGTGCGCAGAGGGTAAAGGCACGGAGGTAATATATGCTTTTGCCCAGTCACCTCGCGAACGGTTGGGTATTGGCTGCAGAGATCCATTTCGCGTTGTTTTATTACGGGATTATATCTTGATTTCTTTGTTCCTAGTTTCACAGACAGAACGAAATCGCTTTTCTCGTGTGGTGTCACGGCGGGAAGACAGAAATCAATCAGAGTACCGAAATTCGACGCCTGCGCTCGTTCTATAGCGCTTCTAAAAACCGTGCGATCACGGCTGTGTATCGTCAACATTGCATAAACTGCCGTTACTTGTACTCGTATTGCATCGTGAGGGAACGACTATGACTGGGTAAACAGAAATAGGGAGAATGGGTGCGTGTGATTTGTTGAAGTTCGAATCAACAAATCGAGCTTCAACGAATGCGATAGTATTGCATTCACTCAACCAGCTATATGAGTTTTCAGATCCTTCCAAGTATGCGATTCGTGTTCTGCCAGTGGTACCTCAGTAAAATTAAAAAAAAAAATTCACGTTAAAAAAAAAAAATTACGGTGACTCGAGCTGCTGCCGCGCCGAATCATGTTTCACATAAGCGTAATTTTGGGTTCGATGCACGACGAGGGGTCTTCAATTATAAAAATATTTTGATTACGATTATTTGCGGCGCTAAAAATTTGAAAGCCAAGCAGTGAAGACGATGGTGTTCTTATAAATATTATATACATTTTATTTTACACTGTTTGAATACGCTGCCGTCGTTATGTCCTTGAATTATTGGCTAGCTTGTGGCGGACAGGGAAGTCTTGCAGGACCATTATGATAGCACCTACACTAAACCTGCCGCGCTTCGAAAAATGTTAGTCTAATGCATACCAGCTTGTTCAAGGCGGACGAAGCATTACGCATCCGGCAAAGCGCATTAAATCGCTGCCCGCGACGTTTTTTCTTTTTTCTTTTTATTTATTTATTTATTTATTCTTTTTTTTTTTTTTTTGTGCAGAAAGATAATTTTTAGTCAAGCAGCACGCCCCCTCTACGGCGGGTTATGCCGGATTAACGGAGGCGTCTCCTAATCCATTCTCCGTGTTGGCCCCTCGGGGGAGGGCGGTGAAGTAAGG